CACAGATTCCTAATGAATGTTAAAACCCTTTTTATTGAGATCTCAGTCCCATTTTATTGACAATTATTAGGGTCCAGACACACATTTCAATTTAACCGAGTCATGCAAACTTTGAAAATGCATATCTTTTATAAACCATACATAATAATGTTAACATTATTATTGACACAGGATCCCCTCTGTCATTGATACCTTTAGATATAACGAATAAACTTCACTTAAGAAGACAGCATTCTTGGTATATCAAAATAACTCAATCCCATGATAACTTTCAATTCACCCAAATACAGGGTGTTGAAGCCTAAAGTATACAAAGGTTATGGCTTATTATTATTGAAATACCAATCAGAATGTAATAAACTGTTGTTTTAGTTGTTACTTATGCCACCTGTCTGACGTAGTCAGATCAAGACCCACGAAATTCATCATGGCAACGGGCTAGAGATACGCCTGTCGTTAGCCGAAGCTTTGAGCCCATGAAGGTGACTGTACGATTTTGCTCACGATAGATGGCGACACCATTCGGACCACTGATTTAACGAGCACGTACGCCGTGTGCACTCGGCAGATATTTGGTTTCATCGGGCATCGAACCCAGGCGTTCCGGTCTGGAATCCGATGCTCTAATCACTAGGCTACCCACGGCCCCGTGGATTGGATACCCCTCCGAGTAATTTTGGGTCTTCTTCGATCAGCCACACGTGCGTGTATTTGTCAATCGCAGACGATAACCTTGTTACGCTGATTTCATTAGTAAAAATGAAAAGTTTAGTAAAGACGACACAGCAAAAGGTGCAGGGTGTACTTTGGTTAACGGAATTTAAATCTTTCACGCGAAATGTAGCGAGGTGTTCGAACTGAATGGAATATCGTTACTGACTTACCTGATATACTTATCAGGATTCCTACAAAATGAATCAAGCCCATGATCAACAATGTCTTCTATCACGAAAACTTAAGGATACTTGCCAGTTTTTTTGAGATACCAATGTTTCCATCTACTTTAAAGTTCTTTTCCATTGGTGGATAGAATTTGATGTCGGAGGATTGACACTCCATTCTGTTCTAACACATTGCTGTATACGCGTGACTGATTTAATTCCGTTAACCAAAGTACACGCTGCACCTTTGGCTGTTGCGTCTTCACTAATCTTTACATTTTTACAAATGAAGTGTAACAAGTTTATCGTCTGTGATTGCCGAATAATGCGTGCACATGCTCGGACTCTATCCAAAAAATCTGGGATGGGTTTATAATTTACGGACGAACAGTTTATTACATTCTGATGGGTAGTTCCTAAATAATGAACGATAACTTTTAGATACTATAAGCCCGGATCCCCAGTATATCATATGTATTTGCAAACTGGCCATAAAAAGAAAAGTTGTAATACATTATCGGAAATAACCTATACTCTTTATTATTTTGGGTCTGCAAGATTATAGTCTATACAATCTTGTTATTGTTGTTTTTGACTGTGAAAAAAAAAACTAGCCATTATACAACAGGAAAAGAATATAATAAGTTATCATAAGAAATTTATTAAATGACTATCCGCGCATAATGAAAATATTATAAACCAAAAGTAATCAAGATGATTTAGTCGAAACTTCATTTTAGCTATACAATAAGTGAGCGAGGCTTAAGTTTTTTCTTTTTCATATCTTTGATAAAGAAAATTGCTGCTCATATTATGTTATATGACATCATGGTCTTTTCTCCCACATATTAAGTCGCATGTTAAAAACAAATGGAAAGTTAACATGCAATTAATTATGTTGTTTTTTAAGCCATTTCTAGTTTTAAAGGTTTTTATCTAAAACATTGAAAAATATATTATATTGGTCCCCGAAAGAAATATCATTACACATTTTATTGAACTGATCGCCCAAAATGTGTCCTGAAGCTAAAAATTTATCTAAAATATATTTCAAATTATTCTTCTTTTCCCCTACTAAAAAAAAACCCTTAACTCTCGTGATTATAGTTCAATTTTAAATATGCGTTATTTTTAGAACAATCGGTTGATTGAGGAAATATACAGTTGCTGAATTCAAAACTGACCACTATTTTTTTTCTCTTTAATTTGATATGTAAATAATTTTTTGGTTATAACAACATGCAAACATTACGCATTGGAATGACATAAAAGAAACTGGAAGAAATAAACTGTTCGTTTCCTGATTCCCATGTGCTCAAGTGGATAGGATTCCTGGCTTTCACCCTGGTAGCTCGGGATCGATTCCCGGCATGGGAAGATGGGTTCCGCGGTGCAAAGGTTAACGCTCTGGAGTTTGAAACCATCATTCCGAGTTCAAATCTCGATGGAACCTTTTTCGTACAGTTACTTTATATTTTTATCGGATTAAATTTTAAAATGTTTCTGTTAATTGCAGTTATTATCAGATCTTTTATGTATGTTTTAATTAAAGTTGATTGAGCTGTTTCAAAAAAAAACATTCCATTGTGAAACCACACTAAGGTTGTTGGGGACGGACACACTACACAAGCATAACGGCTACAAGACTCGATAGATTGATTTAATGTGCAGCCATTCTGCATGGCGGGTCTTCTGTGGAACGAGGACTCGAGCCCACGACCCTACCAATAAAATTATGGAAACATGCTTGCAATCATGACCTATATGGTTACCACAATCACGTGTTTATGTGAATGAGGGACAATGAGAGTTAATATTAACGTCGAACTATAAAGTTGCATGAGGACTATTTGCGACGGACCTCGTAGTTTTGAACCGTGGGCAACTAACGGCGAGGACACCTGAGCTAGCACCTCTCCCCTAACTTCCACATCCCATCAACAGGAAGGCAATTGAATCTCGGCATATTTAACGTGCATCGACACCTCTGTTAGGCGGGTTTTCAGCAGTACCAAACTTGAACTCATGACATGTCAGCCACGAGTCCATAACCTTGACTACTTGGCTACCGCGGCCACCACATATTTAGGAGACAGAAGCATGAATAAATTTTTATCGTTTTTTGGATTTATCCCTTCGTATCTTCTGGTTTTATAGCAATAATATTAGATTTATTCATTAACGAAAAGTCATTATTTTTCATTAATTGCTATTAATTATTCATTAATAGAGACTATAGTTTAATGCTCTTATCACTTCAAAGTCATCAACATATTGTCGAAATTAAAGTTATCCTAGGAGCAGAAGCGGATTTAAAGGATAGGGTAAGAATGCACCTCTTAGAGTTCATTCTCAAGGACCCGCGAGACTTAAACTTTGATCTTTTTATTTGCTAGAAATTTAATTAATATAAAAAAGATATGGTTATGAAATATGGTAACATTCAGGGTGTCTTCAAATTACACTGGTGTCCAAAAGTTAAGCATAATTGATAATTATGTGAATAAAGAAGGAAATGTAAATCAGAATAGCGGGAAACGTGATATGCGAGTGTAAAATGGTTATAAAATAAGGAAGCAAATCAAAAGAATGATAATAATTAACTTTATTATACAAAGTAACAGTTTGAAAAAAAACATTAAATAAAGTACTAATGCTGAAGTTTAATAAGGCGTTTGGTCACCTCTGACAGCCAGGCACTGTGCACTGCGATTTACCATACTTGCTGTGAGATGATCAATGAGTTGTGGGCTCAAACAGTTCCAAGCTTCCTGGAGAGCTCACTTCAGTTCTGTAACGGAGCTTGGTGGGTGCGAAAGGGCTGCAATTTGTCTCCCGAGCATATCCCATACATGCTAGATAGGCTTTAAATCAGGGGAGTTCGCAAGCCACGACATGAGCAGGATGTTTTCCTTGAAACGGAAAACATCCAGCGCTCGGTGACATGGCGCACTATCATCCATGAATTTGAAGTCAGGACCGACAGCACCTCGAAAAAAGCGAACATAAGGCTCAAGAACTTCGTCTCTGTATATTTGAGTAGACACGGACCCCGTGTCAGAGAAATGGAGGTCTGTGCGGCCGTCCATCATGATGCCTGTCCATAACATTACTTCCCTTGATGGAAAATGATGTCTTTCTGTTACGTTTCTTGGTTCAAAACGTGTTCCACGTTCTCTCCATATCGTTACCCGCTGAGAATCACTACTGAGACTATACCGGGACTCGTTACTGAACATCACATGGGCCCACACTCCAATGTTGAGTTTCAAACTCCAGTTCAAACGAGCGTATTTATGCGCAGACGTGAGGGGAATGCAAACTGCTGGTCTTCTGGCATACAGGAAATCATTATTGAGTCTGCTGTAAACAGTTTGTCTCGAAATTCGTATTCATGTGGCGACTGTGAGCGCCAAACCCAGTTCTCTGGCAGTACTGCCCCTCTGACGTCGCGCACTTATTACCAGATATCGGTCTTGGCGAGGGGTTGTGACTCTTGGTCAACCTGATACTGGTTGTCGGGAAACATCTCTCGTTCTTTGAAACCTCTGCCACAGTCTTGAGATCAGTGACTGGTCCACATTCAGAATTCGAGGCACTTCGGTTTGTGATCGTGAGGATTCCAGCATTCCAACGATTCTTCCTTTCGTAAACATGTCCAATTGGCGTCTTTGTGCTATCATTCACCTTGTTTGATGGTTGACAACGTTCCTTTGCACAGCATTTGCACGAAACTTGTCTAAACTGCCTATGCTGCGTGAATCGGTTTCTCTGCGTTCCGACATACGCCGGTGTTTCGCGCAGGACGTAGTCGACTGAAAATATTTGCATTAACCCAATGTTTCTTCTTCATCCAATTAATATCCACAAGAAATTTGGAATACTTTTATGAATATTTACTCCATGTTTTTCGCATTTTACGATTTATGCTTTACTTTTGCACACCAGTGTAGTTGGCAAAAAAAATGACTCATTGTACGTAATTTACAGGAGAAATATAAAATACTTATTGTTGTAAGATGGAGAAGTAACCCATGTTTACCGTTATATGAAATGTTTGATGTGGCTTCCTTTCGTTACTATGCAAATGCCCCATTGGTAAAGCAGTTTTTGCCACAGGTTTGCAATATGCTTCCGCCAAACAAATTGTTTGCAGTACAGATTCTATACGATGAAACAATAATATCTCTTTTCATTGTTTTTTCTTGAATCCTCGAATAAAATTTCGTAGTACATGTACATCAGAATAATTTTTCATAAAGCCAAAGACAACATTTCCTTTTTAGCAAATCGTTCTATGTATCCATTATCGTAACGCCAAAAAAGAATGTTTACCTCTCGCTAAAAGATATTGTTACTTATTACACCTAACTTTATCTATGAATACATTTAGGGAAAATTGCACTGGTGCAAACAATTAAGAAAATTTGCATATTTTATTGAATTGCATAAAAATAACGGAACTGAATAAAAAATCAATGCTTCTAGATAAAAATACAGTATTTGTACGGCAATACTTAATCGTACACGTTTGTGACGGTGGAGCCATCAGAAAAACAGGCTTTATAAACACATGCAAGTTAAGACGTATTTCGTTCTCCAGCACACCTCGGTGAATTTCTTTGTGTTATTTTGATGCAGTCGGTTCAATTCAAATTGTAAGAGTAAAAAGGAGTAATTACCAACGTTTAGATGATGGAAAGAGGTCTCGAATTGTAGGGAGTCTAAATGCAGGCCAATGACAAGCCTAGATTTGTAGAGAGTTTAATTTCACGTTCAGCGTCGTGTGTAACTTATGGAAACAGTTCCAGCATACTCCATCAATCGAGAGAAAGCCTGGGCAAAGTCGTCTAAGAGCCACGATGGCCAGAGAAGATCGCCATTTGTCGATTATAATGAAGCGTAACACATTGGCTACTGCTTATCAGCTCTCTTGTTACTTGTATGCAACCGCAGTAGCCCGTGTATCAGGGGTGACTGTTTTAAAAAGACTTCATGGGAGAGGGTTGTTTGTCAGAAGCCCTACTCTTTTCATCCCGCTCACGTCTACGAACAGCAGAGTCCGCTTAGCATGGTGGATGCAGCATAGAGATTTGAGAATGGATCAATGGGCGACTATTCTGTTCACCGATGAGTCCCGTTTCCGCCTAAACACGAATTTCTCACCATACATCCATATGAACGTACGGTGAGAACACAGAATTTCTCATGTACGTAACCAGGGACCCACTGCCTACATTCCAATGTCCAAGAAATCAACAATTGTGGTGGAGGAAGTTTAATGGTATTGGCAGGCATCGTGTTAGATGGTTGCAAACCTCTCCGTGTCTTTGAAAGAGGCTCTGTGATAGGTGTGAGGTCTTGGAGCCTTATGTTTCTTTTATTCAAGGGTGCATGTGGCTTACAGCTCATTTTAATAGACGATAACACGATGGCACATAGAACTCTTCTGGTCGACGAATTTCTAGAGTGTGAGGATATTAGCCGTATGGATTGGCCAGCCAGGTCTCCTGACCTCAACCCTATAGAGCATGTCGGAACGTTCTGAGGAGTGCAATTACAACTCTCACCCCCCCCCCCGATAACCATCCAGGAATTGAAAACAGCTTTGCTGAACGAGGGGGACCAATTATCACAAGAACTGACAAACTACCTTATTTCAAGTACTCATTCAAACTGCCTTATATCATGCTGCGAGGCTTATATAGCTGTAAGAGGGGGCCATAGCCCCTATTAACTCTATATATGTTAATTCCGCAACCACTGTTTTACACCTTCCAACTCCAATGATTGTTGCCTTGGATCATGTTTGTGTATTGCAATTGTAGAATGATTATTCGTTTTGTATTGTATCAATGTATGTACTTATCAAATTTCATTAAAATCGGTTAAATATTTCTAGAGATAATCGATCGTCTGAAAATTCTCTTAATTTCTTACACAAGTGATCTTGTAGTCTGACTTTAAAAGGGTTAATTTCATATAATATTTCGGAAGCTCTTTACTTAAAAATTGCCTAACTAATTTGAATACATTCTGTATTGGACATAAAAATGTGGTACCATATTTTAAAAAAATATTGAAAACGGGAACTTTTATTTTCCCTGTTTCGGGTTCTTTTATTTAAAAGAACCAATACTTTTTTTAATGGCCGTAAGCCTAATCAAGCTTACTCTGCGACTGCTTGGAGGTTAAAAGATGCATAAAGTTATAGGTTATTATAAACTCAAGAACCAAAACATTATGACCACCTATCAGTAACGAGTTGGCCCACCTTTGGCGCGCCACACAGCTTCAACCCGCCTTGTCATGGATGCCAGAAGTCATTGGTAGATGGACGGAGACAGATTGTACCAGATGTTTAAGCAACGGTCACG